CAGCAACAGAACTTTGCTGTTGTCTGGATATTATTCTTTTCTTTGTTTTTTTTTTTAATGGAATGTGCTGAATGTCTATAATTTTGTTCAGATGACTGCAGAAACTGGAAAAGCTGTTGCTGCTATTGATGCATAACATACTATTATTAGTCTATATATATATCTATATCTATAGATATAGATATAGATATAGATATATGCACACACACACACACACACACACACACACACACATATATATAAATTGAATTTTGGGAAACTTTAACGGTGCTGCCAACTTTGGAAAAAGTCATCCCAATTTACTGTGTTGACTTGGTATTGTACAGAAATGGACAACCGTATTGGTCTAGAAAAGTTAATTTATTTTTATTTTTATTTTTTCCCCTGTGTACAGGGGTAACACATTGTACTAAATATGTAAGGTCATATCTACGTGGGTTTGATTACAGAAACTAATAAAGTATTCTCTAAATAATGAAAAAAGAATAAGATAAGACTATAAGAGTGAGAAGCAATTTAAATATGTTCGGGGACCATTTTCATCTCCAGAATTAAGGATTATTTTGATGTTACATCATTGCCTTTTCTCTTTTACTTTCCTTTTTAGTTTTATTTTAGGATTCCCTATTTTTAATGTTCATACAGAGATTTATTTAACTGAAATACAGAATAGTTTCTTTGGTGTGAAAAACTATAATAGTACACAGGATCCTAATGAGACAATAATGTGAAATTGGAAGTAAAGGGCTAAAGGTGTAAGGAAAGTGGGAAGGGTGGGGGAGAGGCAATAAGGAAGAGGAAAAAAATATGAGAAACTGAAAAAATGGAAATAAAGTGTTTGTAAATGGGGAGGGGAGGAGGGGGTGAAGGGAGGGCAGGGACAAGGGGAAAAATGAGAATCAAGACCTATTATGTAAATGTACAGAATCCCAATGATGAATGTACCTTTATTATTATACCTAGATTGTACCAGTAACCTCAATAAAAAGGAAAAAAAAAAAAAGAAAAAAAGAAAACAACCTCCAACCTAGACTGATGTATCCAGCAAAACTCTCTTTCAGAATTGATGGGGAAATAAAATACTTCC